GGGGAGGTGCGCGGGGGTGGGGGGTGTCGCCTTGCCCCACCCGCCTGCTCCCCACGGCCTGGGGAGAGTGTCATTCGGCTGGGGTTAGCTTCTCCCGGGTCTCCATTTTACTAGATTGCACTTTTCCCTCCGAGCAGCCAGAGGGAGGCCGAGGAGACCCTGGCGGGCCTGCGGAGGGTTAGGGGACTTCGCCCTCGCGGGGTCCCCGGGCGCCCCACTCCTGCGCAGCTGACAGGGCGTCCGCGGCTGCCTCGCTCCGGAAGGTTTGCGGTCACTAGGGAGCAGGGCCCTAAGGAGAGGACGGTCCTATTTGTCTTTCTTGTCCTCCTCTTCCGGGGCCGCAGGCTGCTCCTCGGGAACGCTTTCGCCGGCCCTGGACAGCTTTTTGGCCCGCTGGTACAGCTCATTCAAGCTGAATTCGCGGATCACATTCTCCTGCACAAAGAGGAACACATCAGGAAGCTGAAAGGCGAAGTTCAGAGCCCGGGAAGTGAGTTTATTTTTCCAGTACCGGGGACTGAAACCAGGGCCTCTGCACTAAGCTACATCCCCGGCTCTTTTTTCAGTCTGATTTTGAGACAGGGTCTTACTTAATCGCAAAGTTACCCAGGCTAAACTTCAAACTAGCAATCCTCCTGCCACAGCTTCCCAGAGCGCTGGGATTACAGGCGTGCAACCCCACACCCGGCAGAAATAAGTATTCGAACACAGCCTAAGAAAGGAGGCAGGAAGCGAGGCCAGAAATCTGCACTAAGCACCCAGCAAAGCAGTCAGACTTGTGTCCGCTAGGCGCGGGTCACTGTGCCAACAATTACCCCTCCGTGCAAACTCCCTGGACAGTGCTGGGCGCCAGCGTCGCTGTCCCACTCACTGTCCACCCCGGGGACTCAGGGCCTGAACCCTAAGCAGCCGGCAGTGTGCAATCCACTCGGCCGGACACACAGGCGCAGAGCCCGGCCCACACCCTCAGCACCTCGGAGAAGGTCCAGGACACCGCGCGCCCTTTCTTGTCGATCTGTGGCCGCCGCATGACCTCCCTGCCGCCTTGGAAGAGGATGAGGGTAGGGAGCTGCTTGGTGAGGGGTGACGTGCTCACTTTGTACCTGCGGGCGGGAAGAACCTCAGCGCCGCGCACGCGAACAGAGGGCCGCCCGCTGCGCCCGCGGCATACCGAGTGCTGACATCCGTGTAGCGCCCCACGTCCACCTTCCCGAAGCTCAGCCCCGCACAGTTGTACCTGGGAGAGTGGAGCACTGAGCACTGAGCACTGAGCGGAGGGGCGGGGCGCGGGGAACAGAAGGGCTGACCGTGCTCACTTGAGGGAGAGGTCCGCGTAGATGGGGGCGAACGACTGGCAGTCGCTGGACCAGTTGGCGAAGAACTCCACGAGCCACGTGGCCCTCCTGTCCCGCCCCAGCTCCTCCTGCCACAAGGGGAGCCGTGAGCGGGGTCCCACACCCGGCCGAGCTCTCACCCTGGCCTGGGACGCAGGAGGGCACTCACGTGGATGGTCTTGTCGCTGAAGTACTTGATGTACTCGGGGCCCATGTAGAGCGGGGGCTTGCAGGTCATCAGGAACACTGCGTGGGGACAGAGCGGTTGGGGACGGGACGGCCTCACACGGGGCTCATCTCCCGCAGGCCGGGGACAGACTTGGGAAGTGGCAGGGAGCACCAGCAGCCCCTCCTCTTGGGTTTCCCCTTTCCCTTGCTGTACTGGGGAGCAAACCCGGGCCTTCACACTGAGCTACGTCCCCCGCCCCTTTTTATGTCTTACTTTGAGACAGGGTTTCACTAAGTTGCCCAGGCCAGGACTGAATTTGCCATCCTCCTGCCTCGGCTTCCCAGAGCACCCATTTCAGGTGCGTCGCTGCCCCCCTTCCTCTTCAAACACAGCTCATTAGGTTCTGAGCACCTGAGCTATAGGCACCACGCGGGGGCCAAGGGCTGAGGGCGAAGACAGGGGAGGCACTCAGGGAGAGCGGCCTCACCTATGCATAGGGTCAGGTACAGCAGCCCCATGCGCAGGTCCAGACGGAAGAACAGGATGGCATTGGCCACCTTGCTGAACATGAAGATGTTGCCCACATGCTGCTCCACTGTGACTGAAACACAGGGCGGCAGGGCGGCTGGAGGCGGGGGCAGGGAGGGACCGTCCGCAGCCAGACTCAGCCGTGGCTGAGGTGGGCTCAGACCGCTCGCCAGGAAGCTCCAGGGCCGCCCATGCCCAGACTGCACTCACTGGACCTGCGGTTCTTCATCATAACGATGGCGCTGAGAAACATCAGGATCTCCACTTCCCTCTGCAACAGAGCACAGTGCAGGAGGCTGGGAACACTCGGGCACAGATGAGAAATGACGCGGGGAACCAGAAGCTGGGCCCAGAGGCTGAGGCCAGTGTAGACCACGGTGAGTTCAAAGCCAGTCTGGCCTCTGTAGGGAAACCCTGTCTCAAAAACACAAACTAAAAGTGAAAACCACAGAAACCCTGGAGTCAGCTAAGGTACACTGGGGAAAACATCAGTCAGAAGAACTAAATTCGGTCCTCAGCTTTGGGTATTTTTGTTTCATTGGTTTTTTTGTTTTGTTTTTTTGAGACAGGGTACCGCTGTGCAGTTCAGGCTGACTTTGAAATCACTGTGTAGCCCAGGCTGGCCTCAGACTCACTGGGATCCTCCTTTCTCAGCCTCCCACGTAGTTCTGGGTTTGATTTTTTTGGTTTTAAGTTTTTTGAGACAGTCTTCATTATGTAACCCAGGCTGGGTTAGAATTTGCAATCCTCCTGCCTCAGCCTACAGAGTGCTGAGTTACAGCTGTGCTCTACTGCATCTTAACACAGTATCTACTGCCTGTAAGGCAGGAGGATCACAAGTTAAGGCCAACCTGAAATGCACAGGGCACCCCTGTCTCTAAAAACAAAACAAAATCAGGATCTGGTTGTTCCCTTGGTTTGGCTTTGCTTAAGTGAAACCATTTCTCCCACCCAATACTTAAGGTAATAATGCACACACTTTTACCACAATTTGAGAGCTGAAGGGGCTGTAAGAGCTGCAGAAACCTTTCCAACCTTAGGCTTATTTACTTCCTGCCAAGCTTTTACAGTTTACCAGTAAGAAAGTGAGAAAAGGCATGGGTTGGGGAAGACTACAGACTGCATTGTGTTCCCTGTTTTTCTTTTAATCCCCTGTGGTACTGCAGAGTGAACCCAGGGACTCAGCAGTGTGCTATAGCCAAGCCCCCCACCACCTTTTTTTGGTTTTTTTGAGACAGGGTCTCACTATGTAGTTGAGACTGACCTGGAACTCATTATGTAGCCCAGGCTGATTTCAAACTTACAGAGATCCTCTTGCCTCAGCCTCCCAGTGCTGGGATTACAGGAGTGCACCACCAAGCCCAGCAATTAATTTTTTTTGTTTTTTTGGGTACTGGTGATCGAACTTGGGACCTTGTGCTTGCAAGGCAGGAGGCAGAACAACTGAGCTAAATCTCTAGCCCTCTCAAGCCCTTTTCATAACATCTTTTTGTGGGGGCAGGGATTTAACTCAGTGGTTCCACTGCCTGCCTCACAAGAGCAAGGACCCAAGTTCAATCCCCGGTACACACACACACACACACACAAGAGCAAGGACCCAAGTTCAATCCCCGGTACACACACACACACACACACACACACACACACACACACACACTATGTAGTCCAGGCTGGACTCCAACGGGTAGCTATCCTCCTGCCTCAGCCTCTGCGTACTGGGATTACAGGTATGTGCCAACACTCCAGCCTTAGAGCACATGCTTAGCAAATGTGTGAGGGCCTAGGTTCGATCCTCTGCACGTAAAGAGAATGTGGCAGTCAGTCTGGACACGAAGTGAAGGATTAAGGGCATCATGCTTGTAGGATGGACCAGCCACACAGCCCCTCGATGGCCAGGTGCTCCTCACCAGCCACAGCTAGACATGCCCATCTCCGTTCACCAGACAGAAGTGGAGACTCATGCTGTCCTCCTGCTGACTTCCTGCAGCTGCCAGTACCATGAGTTGGGCAGAGCCCAGCAGACTGGGTTTCAGGCTGGCCTTGAACTCACCAGTCTTCTTGCCTCAGCCCCCGAAGTTCTGTGTACCCCTACATCCAGCTCATGGGTTTGGTTTTGAGACGGTCTTGTACCCAGGTGGTCTTTGAACTCTTATAATCTTCCTGCCTCAGACTCTCAAGTGCTGTTTATTTTTGAAGCAGGCTTTCACTATGTTGCCCCTGCTGGTCTTAAACTCTTAGGCTCACGTGCTCCGCCTGCTTCAGCCTTCCCAGTAGCTGGAATGACAGGCACGCACCACTGTGCTTGGCACAGAACTTGGGTCCTGAATGTCCTTCAAGGACTGTTCAGGGCTTGGTCTCCAAGGTGGTGCTGGGAGGGATGGACAGCACGCCCTTGGGCTGCCCTTGTGGGACACCACGGGCCCCTCCTTGCTGTTGCTTCCTAGCATAGAGCTACTGACTCTGTGTCCCCAAGCTCCTTTTCTGAGGGGCTGCCTGGCCATGAGCCTGAGGCTCCGGGGCCAACCAGTCATGGCCTGAAACCTTCCACACTGAGGCAAAAGAACCAACTTTGCACTCGGGAGGCTGAGGCAGAAGGATCACATGTCTAAAGCACCTGCCTGGTGTGCGCATGGCCATGGGTTCTAGCCTCAGTGCTGGGGGAGGGGTTTATGGAGAAATTAATTCTACAAAGGTCTCCTAGTCATTAAAATTCTTATTACCATACATGTAGACTTTTGAGTCCTGGAAAAGGGCAGAGACAGCAAGAAAGAAGGATACAGGAAAAGGGAAGGGAAGTGGGTTCTGGTAAAAGTCAAGACTCACTTTGGGCGCTGGAACAGGACAACAATCCTAGGGGAGGTTTCAATCTGGGTTCCCTTGGCACTACTGCCAAGGAAGTAGCCTGTGTCTGATCTCTTTCTCTTCAGTACTGGGGACTGAACCGGGGCCAGAGAGCTTTTTACTTTTTATTTTGAGGTAGAGTCTCATCACACTGCCTAGGCTGCCCTTGAACTTGGCATCTTCCTGCCTCAGACTCTGGTAGGCGGGGTTCCAGGCTTGCTCCCCCTCCAGCTGGGCAGAGAGGATTTGTTTTCAGTTTATTTTTAGGATTTTGGTTTGTTTTTTCAGTACGTCTCAGCTGTGATTCAGTTTTGTACCCCCAGGGTCCTGCATTGCGCTCAGGCAAGAGTGTGCGTTCTGTAAACGTTTAAGGACTTAGGTTGCGTCCGATAGGGTGGGCAGCCACTGTGCCAAAGGTGGGTACCACTAACGTCGCTGCACGGCGGTGCCTGTGCGGTTTGGCAGGGCTGCTGATTAGCGCGAACGGTCAGGTGGAAAACGCTCCAACTGCGCGGGGCGTGGTGGGGCCCTCCTGTCATCCCAGCCCGCCGGGAGGCTGAGGCAGGAGGATCTCAAGTTCCATACCAAACTGGCCAACTTGGTGAGACCCGGTCTCAAACTGTTATGAAAGGATGGGGATGCGGCTCAGGGCGCCGATTCCAAACCGGGGGGCGCAGGGGTGGGCCCGGGATCGGACGGCCTCAGGCGCTGGGCAGGGGCTGCGAGCGCGGTGCGGGGTTCCCTCCCTGAACACCCAAGCCTAGGCTCGGTGACGGTGGCCCCGGCCCTCCAGGTCGGGCAGGGACCGTCAAGGTCGCTGGCGGCCGAGGCAGGGGGCGCTCACCCAATCAAAGTCACACGGGTTGCCGTCTTCGCGCTGGGTGGGGAGACCGTTGCAGAGCGGCGGCAGTTTCCTCACGAGTAGGAAGGCGGCAGACAGCAGAGCCGACAGCAGGCAGTAAGGCCGGGCCAGCCATCGTGAAAGCCGCGGCACCGAGTACACCAGGGCAATCAGAGGTGCGAAGACCGCCATCTTTGCGGCGCCCGCCGCTCGGCCGCCTCAGTAGGGCTGGCTCCGCCTCCCCGATCTCAAGACTTTATTGGGCCAAATCTCGGAGCTACCGCCTTTGGTCCCGAAAATCGATCTCTGATTGGACGTTACATTGGGTTAGAACTCAAAGAGCGACCCAAGATTTTATTGGTCAATCTAGCTGTCACTTTTCCAACCTAAGTCATTTAATTGGATATGTAACCTTGACGAGCCAGCTCTGAGACGAGTTTAACGAGGCGAGCTATCGCTTCCTGAACGTTTCCACAGAGCGACGGAAGTGGTCGCCGGAAGGGGGTAGGCGTGGCCTGGAGTATCCAGTGACTGGAGGTCGGTACAGGAAGTGGGCGGTACCCACTCAAAGGCTTGCCCAATGAAAATCACTAACGCCAGACACACGAGCAGCGCCGGGGCCAAGGGGACGATGGAGAATTTCACGGCGCTGTTCGGAGCTCAAGCTGACCCACCACCGCCCCCAACGGCACTCAATTTCGGACCAGGAAAACCTCCACCCCCACCTCCCCCTCCCCCGGGCGGGGGGCCCGGCACGACCGCCCCCCCTACCGCGGCCACGGCTCCCCCAGGTGCGGACAAGTCCGCGGCCGGCTGTGGCCCCTTCTACCTAATGAGGGAACTACCCGGTGAGTAAGGCCTGGCCGAGGCCAGCCAATCAGATCAGAGCCAATCAGATCATGATGGGTGTGGCTACCAGCTCATGGCCAGAAAGTGCAGCCCAAATCAGAGGATTTGGGGATTCACGACCAAAGGGTTGGCTTGATTGTAGGACGGTTTGGAGTGGGGAGGTGTGCATCTCTGGGACAGACTTTCGCTTTACTTTCAGGCCGTCACTGATTAAGTTTGAACCTAAGGTTTTAGTATCCAGTCTGCCACATATTTGTTGGCCTGGGACAGGTTGCCTTTTTGGGGAATCGGCGATTCAGCTGCTCGAAGATAGGGTTAAAAATTAAGCCAAACATTTTTATTCAAAAAAAGTATTTGGAGAAGGGCCTGGAGGAGCACACCTGCAATTCCAACACTTGGGAGACTGAGGCACGAAGTTCACAAGTTCAAGCCCACCCGGCAATTTAGAGATTCAGCGAGACCTGTGCTGAAGTAGAAAATCCAAAAAAGGTTGGGGATGTAGCTCAGGGCGAAAGCTGTGAGGTCTTCTCCATAGTTGTCTTTGCCAAGTTGTCCAGTTTGCTATGGAACTTGAGGTCCTCTTGCCTCAGCCTCGGGCTGGGATGACAGGTGGGCCCCACCACGCCCCATGCAGTTGGAGTGTTTTCCACCTGACCCATAGTACAAAAGAAAAACATGCTGGGTTTGGGGATTTAGCTCAGTGGCGCCAAGGTCCTGAGTTCAATCCACCCTCCACACCATTTAAAAAAAAGAAAGAAAGAAAGAAAAATGTTGGAGTTACAGTGTGAGCAAGACTGATGAGAGCCTTACCTTTTGAAGTTTGCAGAGGAGGTAAACAAGAGAACATCAGATAGTGGTTAATACCCTGAGGGGAAAAAGTGATCATGCCTGGTGGCGCACGCTGGTAATCCCAGCAGGAGAGAGGCTGAGGCAGGAGTCTCACTGTGAGTTCAAGACCAGCCTGGGCTACATAGTGAGTTCCAGAGCTGTCTGAACTGCATAGTGAGACCCTGTCTCAAAAAAAAAAAAAAAAGGAGAAAGTGATCAATAATCGAGGGGCTGTGGATTTATCTCAGTGGTGCAGTACCTGCCTCACAAGTGCAAGGTCCTGAGTTCGATCACCAGTACGGGTGGGGGGATAGCAGAGAGCGCAGGACTCTCGGAGTGGACATTTGAGGCACAGCTGTGCACAGACAGATGGCCAGGGACGTACGAACGGGAGGGAGAGATGCTTTGCGATATCAGGAGTCTGCGTGTGAGAAAAAAACCTGAAGACTGCGGGACAGAAGTTCTGTGGGACTCCAGCAATGAGAGCGAGAGAAGGAAAGCAGAGGCCTTTACCAGGCGACATCAGAGACTTAGGTTCCATCCTCAAAGGCTAGCGGTTTTAACGTGGGAGGAGATGATTGAATTTATTCGTTTGTAATTACTCTAGCAGCTACTCAAACACAAAATGGGGACCTGCGTTAGAAGTTCCTGCTCCATGGTCCAAGGAGAGGTGATGCTTTGTAACAGAGATTGGCTATGAAGCGAATAGAGGCAGCGAGCAGGTTCGCTGACAGGAATGAAGAACGGAATGTGAAACTCAAGGGGAGAGGGGAATTGAGGGTGATTTGTGAGGTCGGAATGATTGGTGGGTGGGCAACTCATTTTGGGAAGATGAAGAACAAGCAAGTGAGGAGGTGGAAGTCAGACTGTTCGGGATGTGTTAGGGCTTCAGTTCGTCCCCCAAGGCCTCCCCAGTTTTGGGGGGAGGGGGACACGGGGGATCGAACTCAGGTCCTTGCTCTTTCCAGGCAGGTGGTAGAACCACTGAGCTAAATTCTCGGCCTTTTTTCTTCTTTATGGTACTGAGGATTGAACCCAGGACCTTCACATTGAACTACATCTCCCGGCCCCACCCTTTTATTTAAAATTTGAGACAAAGTCTTGCTAAGTTTTTTAGTTGGCCAGGCTGTGCTCAAATTTATAACCCTCCTGCCTCAGCCTCCCAGAGCACTAGGATTACAGGCTTGGGCCATAATACCCAGCTCTTCCCAAGTCTTCTTTGCCATGTCGTGATTTAAGGGAAGTAATAACTATTGGAAAAGCACTTGAAAGTTCACAACACAGTAACATACTGTATTTAATGCTCTGGAGGTAGCAATACCTCTATTTTATAGTTGAAGAAAACTGAGGTGCAGCCAGGCTGCCTGTCCTTTGATCAGTGATTGGGGTCCTCCAGCAGTTTCCTGCGCCTTTGCTTTGCCTTATTCCGACTGTACCTGTTCTATCAATCATCCAGTTGACAGGTACCGAGTAGGTTTTCTGAGCAAATGCAGGGGACATGGGGGTGAGGAGAAATTAGTCAACATGGTCGTGGGTGTGGACAGCACTGGGAATTGAACCCAGGGCTTTTACATTAAGCTAAATTCTTACTCCCCTTTAAATTTACTAAAAAAAACATCTCTAGGGTCGGGCATTTAGCTTAGTGGTGCCACTGCCTGCCTTACAAGCGCAAGGACCCAAGTTCAATCCCCGGTACCAAAAACAAAGAAAAAAAATCTCTAAATTGCCCCAGTAGGGCTCAAATTTGCAGTCCCCCTGCCTCAGCGTCCCTCGTGGTGGCATCATGGGCATGCACCACTTATTCCAAGCTTCGTCTCTGCTTTTTAAAGGAGTTTATTAGTTAGGAATATAAAATATGGCTTATGCATAGCAACTGCATTTCTTGTCAGTACCATTCTCATTAGTCTGTGGTCATGTCTTGCATATAGCAGTTAGTATCTTAGCAAACAGTATGAAAAACTACTCAATAGTTTTCCAATGTGTTATCCAAAATGACAGCTAGAATAAGATGTCATTTGAACTGGACCTTGAAGAATTTATAGAGGTGAAGAACACTAGGAAGAACTTTCCTAGAATGCAAAGATATAAGGTGACCCCACTACACCCCCAGGAGACGCAGAAACCACTGGGATGGGCCTGGAATTTCACACAGAACAGTGGCCTTGAAGAGCTTCGGCCCCGGTTAGGAATCTGGAGCTTTGTCCTGAGGATGTAGGCCTCTGAGAGTTTTGAGCTGAGGAATACTGCTCTGAAAACATGTGGGGCACGTGAGTGCCAGGGACTGAAATAGAACAACCACAAGGAATGTGGGCACGCTTTGGAATCTCGAGGAGAAAATGGGGTCTGTGTGGAGTTGAAGAAGTTGGGAATACAAGATTCTTTTTCAGGAGAGGAGTCAGGTGGGGAGCGAGGTTTGGACATCACCTTCACTGCACTGACAGGAAGTTGAAGGCTTTAGGGTTTAGAAGCATCACCCTGGGAGCTGCGGAGCTGGCAGGAAGAGATGGGAGGCACCAGGCATCCTGTGCATGCAGCGTCCAGCGAGGAGAAGCCCTGTCCCCTCTGTAGCCCGCGGCTCACGTGTGCGCTGCAGAGGTCCCCAGGCCACTCTTGCCCCCGTGTCCGTCCTAAGGACAGGATCTCAGCAGGGCTGAGGCACAAGGGTCAGAAGTTTGAGCCCAGCCTGGGCAACTTGGCGAGAAGCCCCTGCCTCAAGATAAAAAATCACAAAAGGCTGAGGATGGTGTAGAGCTCGGTGCAAGGGCCCCGCACACCCCACGCCCTAAAAGGCACAGCCTCCAAAAAGAAAGTCCTTCCGGACTCCCCAGGGCCCTCAAGTCCTTGGCCAAACTGCGTGGTTGTAGCTGAGCTGCAAGGTGCTTTATTCTCATCAGGTCAGAGAAAAGAGCTCCTCACTCCATTTTTTGAGAAGGAGCACAGCAGCGTTTAGCACAGAGCAGCTGTTAAGGATTTTAAGTTATTTGAATACTTTACCCTAATCCGAAACTGAAATGCCTACTGTCTCAATTTATTTATTTTGGTTTTTTTGTTTTGTTTTGTTTTTTTGGTGGTGCTGGGGATCGAATCCGGAGACCACAGGGATATATCCCCATACCTTTTCTGTTTTTTGAGATAGGCTTTCACTGAGCTGCACAGGCTGGCCTCAAACTTGCTATCCTCCTGCCTCAGCCTCCTGAAGATAACCAGCATGTGCACTGCACCCAACCAAAATCTGAAATAGTGGAATTCATTCTTTTCGTGGCATCTCAGACTTCAGGTTTTCAGATCAGGGTTTACTTTTGCTGTTTTTGTTTTGGTACAGGGGTGGGGATCGAACTCAGGTCCTTGCACTCTCGAGGCAGGCACGGTGCCGCTGAGCTGCATCCCTAGCTGCTGGGTTTCTTACTGTGAGCGCCCCCACCTGGGTGCGGTGCAGCCGTGGCCTGCCCCGAGTGTTGAATGTGTCTCTGCTGGGTGCTGAACCCCTCTTCCCTGGGCAGCAGGCAGCACGGAGCTCACAGGCAGCACCAATCTGATCACACACTACAACCTGGAGCAGGCCTACAACAAGTTCTGCGGGAAGAAGGTCAAGGAGAAGCTGAGCAACTTCCTGCCCGACCTTCCCGGGATGATTGACCTGCCCGGTTCCCATGACAACAGCAGCCTCCGCTCCCTCATCGAGAAGCCCCCTATCCTGGGTGGCTCCTTCAATCCCATCACCGGGACCATGCTGTCCGGCTTCCGGCTGCACACCGGCCCGGTGAGTCCCGCCATTGGGGGAGGAGGCGCGGAGTGGCTCCTGCTCTTCCATCCCCGTCCACCCTTCCTGGTTGGCCAAACAGACACCGCAGGACGGGGGCCAGGCAGCCCCTGAGCCCCCGCCCCCCGCCCCCGCGTCCCTGCAGCTGCCGGAGCAGTGCCGCCTCATGCACATCCAGCCCCCCCGGAAGAATAAGCACAAGCACAAGCAGAGCCGCACCCAGGATCCGGTGCCCCCAGGTGAGCAGGAGGAAGCGCAGGACCTGGGACAGGGTTTCCGCCGCAGCCTTCTGGAGATCAGCACCTGCTGCGGGAGGGCCTCGTGGCTGAGGTGACAGCCCCTTGTGTTTCCTACAGAAACACCTTCAGACTCGGACCACAAGAAGAAGAAAAAGAAGAAGGAAGAGGACCCTGAACGGAAGAGGAAGAAGAAAGAGAAGAAGAAGAAGAAGGTAGGGTGGTGGCCTGTGCGTGTGGGTGAGGACTGCGGGCCCAGGGAGCTGCAGTGTGTCCCGGGTGGCAGGCCCTGCTCAGTGTCCTGACCCCGCCCCTGTGTCCCCAGAGCCGGCACAGCCCTGACCACCCCGGTATGGGCAGCTCCCAGGCCAGCAGCAGCAGCAGCCTCCGCTAGCGGGCCCGTCGGGACAGCCCTTCCTGCCGCGCAGACCTGCTGTGGGGCAGCACAGGCCCAGAAGGAACTGCTGTGCTTCTGTGGGCCGCGCCCAGCCGCTTCCTCCTGGACCTCTCTTCCCCTCCTGGAAGTATTCTGTGGCTCTTACCTATGTGCAATTTGTCTGATTTCAGGACTTGATTTCTTAGGGTTTTTCACTTTAAAAAACTGAATCATCAAACTGGCTGAAGTGTGGCTGCCTGTTGAGAGGTGAGTCAGGATGTGACGCGCACGCCTGAAACCCCGGCCCTGGGAGACCGAGGCCAGCCTGGCAGTGTAGAGACAGCAAAACCATCTCCAGATACAAAATGCTTAGAGCCGGGGATTTAGCTCAGCGGTTCGGGGGCCTGCCTCGCAAGCGCAAGGGCCAGAGTTTGGATCCCTGGTACCAAACAAAACTAAAATCCCAAAATGTTTACTTAGAAAGGGCCGGGGATGGAGCTCAGTGTGACGGCCCTAGGTTCACTATCCGGTACTGCAAAGAAAAAAGCGCTAAGTGCCTTTCTTCCAGGGTCAGGGTTGAAGGCGGAGCTGCTCAGCTGGAGCTGGGTCTCAGCAGTGCATTCTGAGCCACAGCCAGGTGCGCTTGCTCCTTTCCCAGCAGACACCCACACCCTGCCCCAGCTGACCCCAGCCACACATTCCAGGTCATGTCTGTGCAGAAACAGCCCCCCGCAGGAAAGCACTGCCTCCGGGTACTTCAGCAGGAGCAAAGGCAGCCAGAAGCCTGTGACTTGGACATGAGCCCCTGGCAGGCAGCGGCACCTGCTGCTTCTCCTAGGCCTTTTAGCGACCTCGTTCCTTGGTTAGGGCAAAACCGGCAGCAGGACAGACTGAACCCTGTCTTGGTAGCGGTCTGGGTAACGGAAAGCGCCGGCCGGCGTGACCACTGGAACCAAGGCAGCCTAACCAGAAGCCATGCGTGGCACACATCGGCCTGACTTCCTCTCGCTCCCTCCCGGCTCCAGAGCGGGAGTGTTCACACACTGCTCCCCTGACCCCCATCGGGGCACGGTTACTGCTGCGCCTCACTTGGGAAGGCAGAGCAGGTGGCCCGGAGACCTGGCGTGGTGCCCTTCCCGAGTCAGGGCCCCTCCTCCTTTTGCTGAACACGGGACAGTGGGGCAAGCGCACCCTTGGCCGCCACAAAGGGCCACAAGTCAAGAGGTCTCTAAGCTTAGCAGTGTGATAAGGTCTGGTTGCTGCACTTCACCAGGGTTGTTTTTGGGGTTTTTTTTTTTTTTTTCCCTCAATAATGGGGATCAAAGCCAGGGCCTCAAGCATAGCAGGAAGTACCCACCCTACCGCGAAGTTTTTTTTTTT